ATTCAGTAATTACTTATAATTCCATAGTTATACTGCACTTGTGCTAAATTCAATAAGACAGAAGTGTAAAAGTGCAAAGTTAGCAACAGAGGAATACAATCTAAGCCAACTTTCTAGAGAAGAAATGATTTAAGATGACATAAGGCGGGTTTGAGGAAGAATTGTGTTCTCCGAGAGATAGGATAAAGATGGAACATTTAAGGTAAAGGAACAGCACCTGTACTGTGAAGGTTTGTTTAAATATTTTTAAGTTCTATATTGCTGAGGTAAAAAAATATGGGTTATCAGGAGAGAGGGATAAGTGTGGCTAGAAGTATAGACAAAATACAGATAATGCTGGTACTTGAATGTTGCAACTGGGAGTATGAACTTTGTTTTCAAGGCAATGGTAGGTTAGTAAACATAATCAGTTTTGTATTTGAATAAACTTAGCTGTGAGTAAGGTAGAGAAAATGGAGTACACTGAAGACAGGGGCAGCAATTAAAACTCTGTTAGAGGCTTAGTGCCTGTAGCTCAGGGGCTAGGGTGCCAGCTATATATGCCAGAGCTGGAAGGTTCAAATCCAGCCCAGGCATGCCAAACAATAATGATAACTCCAGTGAAAAAATAGCTGGGTGGGCGGTGCCTGTGGCCCAAAGGAGTAGGGTGCCAGACCCATATGCCGGAGGTGGTGGGTTCAAACCCAGCCCCAGCCAAAAACTGCAACAACAACAAAAAAAAAACTGTGGTTGTGGTGGGCACCTGTAGTCCCAGCTACTTTGGAGGCTGAGGCAAGAGAATTGCTTAAGCCCAAGAGTTTGAGGTTGCTGTGAGCTGTGACGCCCTAGCACTCTATCCCAGGCAACAGCTTCAGACTTTGTCTCAAAAAACAACAACAAAAAAAAGAAAAACAAAAAGAAAAAAACCCAACTCTGGTAGAATTGGCTGGGCACAGTGCTTCACACCTGTAATCCCAGTCACAGGTTGAGGCAGAAAGAATCCCTTGAGCTCAGAATATAAGACCAGCCTGGGCAAGAGCTAGACCCCTTCTCGACTAAAAATAGAAAACACTAGGTAGGTGTTGTGAGGCTCCTGGAGTCTCAGCTACTTGGGAGGCTGAGTCAATTTTATGTTGTATTTTCCTTTGATTCAATTCAAAGTATTTTCTAATTTTCCTTGTGATTTCTTCTGTTATGCCCAGGAGCTCCCCCAAAGACCACACTACCAGACAAGTCAAATTAAAATGGAGTTCTTTTATTGAAGAGCCCGCTGGCAACTGCCCCAGTGTCCCAACATGGGGTCTCTGAGTGTAGCCTCAAGTTGTCTAAGACTCTGATTTTTTTTTTGAGACAGAGCCTCAAGCTGTCCCCCTGGGTAGAGTGCTGTGGCATCACGCTCACAGCAACCTCCAACTCCTGGGCTCAAGCAAGTCTCCTACCTCAGCTTCCCAAGTAGCTGGGACCACAGGCACCTGCCGCAATGCCCGGCTATTTTTTGGTTGCAGCCGTCATTGTTGTTTGGTGGGCCTAGGCTGGATTCGAACCCACCACCTTGGGTATATGTGGCTGGTGCCTTAGCCACTTGAGCCACAGGCACCAAGCCTAAGGCTCTGATTTTTATAAGGCAAAATATTTCCAGGGGGCAGATAAACATAGTCATAGAAGTGAAAAACAGCCATTTAGGGGAAATCACGAGGGGTGAAAACAAGTAGGGGGAGATCATGAGGGTATGGCAGTTTAATTTACACAATGTTATGATCAGGAGAACACAGTCTACAATGTCTTTAGGTAATGTAGGGAGGGGGACTTGCAGGTGAGGGTCATAAACAACATGATCATAAAAAGCTATAATCATAGGGGCTATGTGGTTAGTAACTTACATTACTAACAATTTTAGATAAAGGCATTTACAGTTACACTGGGAGGGAAAACAAGAGGAACTAGTTTTGAAGGTAAAAAGGAATAAATAGTAAAGTAGAGTTAAGCTTGTTTTGTTAACATTTCAATGTTATATACAGATGGTATGAAGATCACTTTAACATAATCATGAAGGTTGTTTGTCACAAGGGTAGTTACTGACTTTCTACACACTATTAATAATTTTAACAGTTCTAACCAGGTACACTTAAAATACTATGCAATGGGCGGGGAGGCAAATGGAACTGGGTTTTTTTTTTGTTGTTGTTATAGAGACAGAGTCTCACTTTATGGCCCTTTGTAGAGTGTCTTATCACACAGCTGACAGCAACCTCCAACTCCTGGGCTTAGGTGATTCTCTTGCCTCAGCCTCCAGAGTAGCTGGGACTACAGGTGCCCGCCACAGCACCCAGCTATTTTTTGTTGCAGTTTGGCTGGGGCCAGGTTTGAACCTGCCTCCCTTGGTATATGGGGCCTGTGCCCTACTCCTTGAGCCACAGATGCCACCCTTTGGTTTGTTTTTTTTAAGCAATAAAATGTAGCAAAACAACAGCATGGAATCATTTTGCCTTCCCACTGATTCTCTGGAAAGAGAATTATACCAAAATGGAGTTAGGCTTGCTTCTCTTTCACCTTAACACTTCTTTGAGTTAGGGGTTATTTAAAAGTATAATGAAAGTTGATTTCCAAACATTTGGAGGTTTCCTACATTTTTCTGTTGATTTCTAATTTAATTACATTGAGGTCCCCAAACATATTTTGTATGATTTTTATCCTTTTAAATTTATTGAGTTCTGTTTTGTGGCTCATGATATGATCTATCCTGGAGCATGTGCACATAAAAATTAGGCATATTTAAGAGTATTTAGGTGGAGTGTTTTATGTATATCAGTTACTTCAGGTTGATTCTTAGTGGTGAGTCTTTCCTGTACTTGCTAATTTTGCCTAATTTGCTTTTCATCTGTAATATTTTCTTTCTTTCAACTTTGTTCTTTTACTAGTTTTGAGAATTTAATTCACTTTAGTTTTTTTCTTTTCCTGATATAATTACTTAAGATTATGAAATTTCCTGGTTTGGTGCCTTTAGCTCAGTGTGTAGGGCACTGGCTACATACACTCAAGCTGGTGGGTTGGAGCCGGCCAGAGCCTGCTAAAGAGCAATGACAATTGCAACCAAAAGATAGCCCAGTGTTGCGGTGGACACTTGTAGTCCCAGCTACTTGGGACCCTGAGGCAAGAGAATTGATTAAGGCTCAGCACCTGTGGCTCAAATGGCTAAGGCGCCAGCCACATACACCTAAGGTGGGGGGTTCGAATCCAGCCTGGCCCGCCAAACAACAATGATGGCTGCAACCAAAAAATAGCTGGGCATTGTGGCGGGCACCTGTGGTCCCAGCTACTTGGGAGGCTGAGGCAGGAAACTTGCTTGAGCCCAGGAGTTGGAGGTTGCTGTGAGCTGTGATGCCACAGCACTCTACCCAGGGGGAAAGTCTGAGGCTCTGTCTCAAAAAAAAAAAAAAAAAAAAGAAAGAAAGAAAGAAAAAAGAGAATCGCTTAAACCCAAGAGTTTGAGGTTGCTGTGAGCTGCAACACCAGAGCACTCTGCTGAAGGCGACATAGTGAAGCTGTCTCAAAAAAAATATTATGAAATTTTCTGTGATCACAGCCATGTTTCTTCCATAAATTCCTTTTATAAAGTGTTGTCTAGTTTTGCCTGTATTTCCTTAGTTCACTTAACATTTGTGTAGTAGAAAGCTTTTGAAGGAAAATTTTCAAGAAAAAAATTTTTTTTTTCTGTTACCCTGGGTAGAGTGCTGTGGAGTCACAGCTTACAGCAACCTCAAACTCTTGGACTCAAGCAATCCTTTTGACTCAGCCTTAGACCGCCCAGTAGCTAGGGGGACTACAGGCCCCCATTAATTTTTTTAATTTTTAGTAGAGACGGCTCTGGCTCTTGCCCAGGCTGATCTCCAACTCCTGAGCACAGGCAATCCACCAGCTTCAGCCTCCCAAAGTGCTAGGATTTACAGGCATAAGCACCACGCCTGGCAGTTAAGAAAGGGCTTTTTAAAAATGAAGCTATTGATTTATAGTTTTATTGCATTGTTATCAGAAAGGGTCCTTTGATCTGTCTTGGACCCAGAGTTAATGTCTCCTATTTGTTTTGTTTGTTTAGTTCATTGAAGTCACAGCTCACAGCGATCTCAAACTCTTGGGCTTAAGGGATTCTCTTGCCTCAGCCTCCCAAGTAGCTGGGACTACAGGCACTGTCCACAACACCCATCTAATTCTCTCCTAGTATTGATGTGCTTCTTTTTATTTCTCTGTACTTATACTGTGGATCCTCCTTTATGAAGTTGATTACTGTTGTCACGACCCAGCGGGTTCCTATGGCCCTGGTCTCAGCGCAGGAAGGAACCAGGCGAGAGGCAGATTAGAAGTACAAGCTTGTGGAAAGCAGGCTAGCCTTTACTTCCTCGGTAGCCCAGAGCAACCTCCGCACCAGCCTTTTATTGAGCCAGAACACAGGTGAGGGGAGTAATTAACAATGACTATGTGCTGAGGGCACAAGCTCTTCTTCCACAAGGAACTCCCGTGGAGGAATGGCCCGAGGTCCACGCCTCAGCTGCAGATCATCTTGCTCGGATGTCATCTGGCTCTTGGCGTCTCCTACATACTGTATTATTTGATACTCAATGGTATTCTGATACTCAAAAGGGTTACATAACTGTGAACTGCGGCTTTTAGCTTGGCAAAGTGTCCTTTTTTGCTGGATTTAGAGTCTAAACCCTGACTTGTGTCACATCGAGATCTCAGCGCACCCGAGTCCCAAGTCTAGTCGACTCCACCCATCCCTGGGACGGGCGCCGTCTCCCACTCAGAGAGTCACAGAATTGACTGCTGCCAAGAGCGGTCGCCCTCTGCTCCAGGGCGGAAACAATGCGCTCTTCGCAGAGAGCAGTGGGACACGTAGTCCGTCAGGCGCCTTCTGTCCCTGCGTCTCTCCACGTGACGCACTTCCATACGCGCCGCAGTCCCTGCGGTAATTGGTGTGCACTTGTGAGGCTGTTTCCGGTTCGGGCTCGGACCCTGGCAGCTGAGCGAGGGGATTCCTTGTTTGAGTTTCTGTGGCCGTGGATGCACGAAGTTATCTGGCCAAGAGCATCCTGGGCCGACTGTGAACTTGACTGGCTGACAGGTCCCTGGCTACCCGGACTGAGCCAAGCCGGCTTCAGTCCCTCTCACATAAGGGAAATCTATCTACCCGACTTTTTGTGCCAGGCCAGGAAGTCGCCGGCCACTCGCGGTTCGTGCTGGGGAAGAGCTGAGGAGGCCGTGTCCCTGCGAACAGCTCACAGCTCAGCCCTGGTACCGTTTGGTCCTGGTGCCTGCACCCGCCTCTAAGGCGGGCGCGGCGGGGACGCTGCCTCTGGCACGGGTCACTCCTCACAGCTCACGGTCCTCCACGCCCAGGCGGTGCACACGAAACCCGGCGCGGGATGGCCAGCAGGTTCGGGACAGCTTCGTGTTGGGTAACTAGGCACTTTTTCTAACTTTTAAAAAGCTGACAGGACACTGAGAGTCAGCATGTTCATCTCTTCAGGATCACATCCAGGACCTGAACTCACATGTTCCCCATCCTGGCCCCCACCCTGGGTCTGTGAGCCTCCAGATACGTTCCTTCTGGTATTTTGAGTCCAGTATCTTGTCCTTCAGTAGTTACCCTGTACTTTATTGCCAGCTGAGAACCCTGAACTTTTGAGAGTCCTTTTTAAGGTAATGCTCATGCTTTTCCATCATTTTGTGTTTTCTGACAGAGTTGTTTCCTTATGCAGTCTGTTAGTTCATTGAGGTTCATATATACCTTTCTCGTTTTTCGTTTGTCCAAAGGCTTATTTACTGTCTTTGTGTGCTGGACCCTTTGTGCTGGCAAGGATAAATTGTGTATGTCCCTTGTTTTAGAGGAGCTTTGGTCTGGCCTGGATGGAGAGTAAGTAATTAAGTGAACTATGGGTGCAATTACAGGTGCAACGGGAAGGAGAAGAAGCTAGGAGAGGAACTTGAAGGTCCAAGGAGAAAGGCGAGATCTGTGGGGAGGGCTGCCGCAGTGCATCACCTGCATGAAGTGAATGAGAGGGGAGACTTCATAATGATTTAATTGTCCAACCCATTCCTCTTGGTGGTGGTGAAGTTTCTTAGACTAGGAACGCTATTTTGAGAGGTGTTCTGGAAAGGACTTTCTCAGGTGTGGACACAGAATGCCTATATTTGAGTTTATGACTTTAATTTGTGGACTTCTAAAGTGGAAATATACAGATTAAAAGCACCTATATATTGGAGGAAGCTGAGGTTGTGACCGACTAGAGCCCTGAAGAAGACTGAGGAGATGACTCAGGTTAATGACAAAGATGGGACATCAGGTGAAGAAGGACTAAAGTGCTAGAGAAGTTGGAGAAAGGAGAAGTGGGATTGCTCCCTCCCCATCAAGATTGAGAAAAGAGGCTCGGCCATAGCTCAGCGGTAGAGCCCTGGCCACGTACACCCCTGGCTGGCGGATTAGAACCCAGCCAGAGCCTGCCAAACAACAGTGACAATTACAACAAAAAAATAGGCGTTGTCGCGGGTGCCTGTAGTCCCAGCTACTTGGGAGACTGAGGCAAGAGAATAGCTTAAGTCCAAGAGTTTGAGGTTGCTGTGATGCCATGGTACTCTACCGAGGGAGACATAGTGAGACTCTGTCTCAAAACAAAAAAACAAAGATTGAGCTGGGTGCAGTGGCTCACGCCTGTAATCCTAGCACTGTGGGAGGCTGAGGCGGTAGGATTGCTTCAGTTCAGGAGTTCAAGGATTGTCTGAGCGGGAGTGAGACACCGACTCTTGGAAAATCCCAGCCGGGCTCCGAGCAAGCGCCTGTGATCCCACTGGCTTCAGGGGCTGAGGGAGCAGGATGCCCGAGTCTGAGGTTGCGGTGACCTACCATGCCATTGCGCTCTACTCAGGACATAGGGTAGAACCCTCCCAACACCAAAGATTGAGAAAAGAGAACTTCTTAAAGGCAGTGATATGAAATGTCTCAGAGAAGCATTTCATGAGATGAAAAGTTATATGTTGAATTTTGGAATTTATAGGTTTTAGGCATTTTTTTCTAAAGGAGGGAGAATTTTGGGGATGGTGTAGGTGATAGCTTCCGGAAAGGTAAAGGGGTGCGGCAGGGTGGATTATTGTGGAAAATGGTTAGGGATAGTATAGCATTTTTAGGTGGTCAACTGTGAAAGGAAGAATTAATGTGCCACAGATAAGGGATTTCAGTGAGGTGGCCTGAACAATCCAATAAACTGCAAAAGTTATGTGCCTTTTATTTGAAAACAGTAATTATGCAGAAACTAAATAATTCTATTTACAATAACAGTAAAAAAAAAAAAGTGAAGTGTAGAGTACCTAAATAAGAGACTTTTTAAAAAACAGTCTCATTTTGTCACCCTTGGTAGAGTGTGGTAGCATCACAGCTCACAGCAACCTCAAACTCTTGGGCTCTTTGCTTGTCTCACCCTCCCGCATAGCCAGGACTACAGGCACCTGCCACAACACCGAGCTGTTTTTTTTTTTAATTTTTTGTATTAGATCATAATTGTGTACATTAATTCTATCATAGGATATAGTGTGTTGCTTCCATATACAGTTTAAAAAACTCTCATCCAACTGGCTAACATAGCCATCGTGTCTTTCGAGCTGTTTTTTTTTCTTAGAGACAGTCTCAGTTTGTCACCCTTGGTAGAGTGCTGTGGCATCACAGCTCACAGCAACCTACAGCTCTAGGGCTTATGTGATTCTCTTGCCTCAGCCTCCCAGGTAGTTGGGACTACAGGTGTCTGCCACAATGCCAGGCTATTTTTTGGTTGCAGTTTGGCTGGGGCTGGGTTTGAACCCACCATCCTCGGTATATGGGGCCAGCGCTCTACTGACTGAGCCACAGGTGCCACCCACATCCGGCTATTTTTTTTTTTTTTTTTGAGACAGAGCCTCAAGCTGTCGCCCTGAGTAGGGTGCCATGGCATCACAGCTCACAGCAACCTCCAACTCCTGGGCTCAAGTGATTCTCCTGCCTTTGCCTCCCAAGTAGCTGGGACTATAGGTGCCCACGATGCCTGGCTATTTTTTGGTTGCAGCTGTCATTGGTGTTTGGCAGGCCCAGGCTGGATTCAGACCTGCCAGCTCAGGTGTATGTGGCTGGCACCCTAGCCACTTGAGCCACAGGTGCCGAGCCCCGGCTATTTTTTAAAGTCAGTCTCACACTTGCTCAGGCTGGTCTTGAACCTGTGAGCTCAGGCAGTCCACCCACTTTAGCCTTCCTGAGTGCTGAGATTACAAGCATGAGCTACCTCACCCGGCAAATAAAAGACTTTAAAAATAATGATATTAATAGTTAGTTCAGCACTCTTTTTAACCATTATATATATATGAAGTTACTGAAGTCTAGTGATTCTATGAGGCAGGGAAAATGTCCCCATTTCACGTTCTGATACCAGTGAGAAAACTGGGAACCTATCCATGGTCCCAAACTTGAGAGGAATGTTAGGAGACTCAGATGACAGGTGGGATTCAAACCCAGGCATTTTATTTTTAGAGTTGTGCTCTCATTGCCTTTTGGGACCCTGAAAGATGTTTTAGCAAATTAAACTATATTACCTTATTTTTAAGTGCAAGTATTAGTTTAACAAATATTTATTGACTATTGTGCCACATAAATGTCTAAGGAATGCAGGGGTGAACAAGACTGACAGGTCCATGACCACATGTGGGGGAAACAATCAATTATCAAAGGAACATCATAAATAAAAATGGTTGTATTTTATGCATATGAAAGAGAGTGGCTGCTTTATATTGCTTCCTCAAGGAATCTTTGTGGAGGTCAAATCTGAATGAGAACATGATGATCATGGGGAAATGGGATGTGTGGGAGAGGAAGCTAAGGAACCACAACTTGCTTGGCTCCTTTGTCAAGTGCAAAGAAAGTCTGTGGGTAGAGTGAGGGGATAGAGTGTAGACAGCCAGGGCTAGATTATGTAGGCTTCTTTTATTTATTTATTTATTTTTCTTACTTATACATGTATATATTAGGTTTCCACTTTTGCCTTCACAGAATTAAAAAGGCTAAATTTAGGCTTGGCGCCTGTGGCTCAAGTGGCTAAGGTGCCAGCCACATACACCTAAGGTGGCGGGTTCGAATCCAGCCCAGGCCTGCCAAACAACAATAAGGGCTACAACCAAAAAAAAAAAAATAGCCAGGCATTGTGGTGGGCGCCTGTGTTCCCAGCTACTTGGGAGGCTGAAGCAGGAGACTCGCTTGAGCCCAGGAGTTGGAGGTTGCCGGGAGCTGTGATGTTACGGCACTCTACCCAGCTTGAGGGGGGACAGCTTGAGGCTCTGTCTCAAAAAAAAAGGCTAAATTTAATGACAGTAATAATGTTTAACATAAAGACTGAGAACAAAAACCTCATAAAGAATGAACAAAGATAAATACATTCAGAAAAGAAATCAGACAATTGCTACAACAAAATATTAAGCAATAGTAATAGTAATAATGCAAAGAAAGTAACATTCACATTGTCAGATAGGAGTATGTCTATTATAGAATACTTTGATCATTTAACTTCTTTTTATTTAAAAAAACAACTAATATTTATAAATAAAAGTAAAAGATAATTTCAAAAAAACAGATTATGCCAAATCTTATAGACAATAGAAAAAGAAATACTGGACAATGCCTGTGGCTCAAAGGAGTAGGGCACTGGCCCCATATGCCAGAGGTGGCAGGTTCAAACACAGCATCACTCTACTTAATCTGGATATACCTTCTATTAAAATTGGAGAAAATATATTATTATAAAGGGGAAATTACAAACACATTTCACTTATAAATGAGGATGCAATATGATAAACAACATATTAACATGTTGGCTTAAAAATTAGTGTTTAAGTAATGTACTTTGGTCAAAATTAAATACAATTTATATGAGAATTAGTTACTATTTTCTTTCTTTCCCTTGCCCACACTCCCTCCCTCCTTCTCTGTCTGGTCTCCCCCTCCTCCATGCCCCACGGTGTCATTAATTGTCATTAATTGTCTTCATATCAAAGTTGAATACATAAGATTCTTATTTCTCCATTCCTTTGATGCTTCACTAAGAATAATATGTTCTACCTCCATCCAGGTTAGTACAAATGCTGTAAAATCTCCATTAGTTTTGATGGCTGAATATATTCCATGGTATACATATACCACAGCTTACCAATCCATTCCTGGGTTGAAGGACATTTAGGCTGTTTCCACATTTTAGCGATTGTAAATTGGGCTGCAATAAACAGCCTAATACAAGTGTCTTTATAATAAAAGTTTTTTTTTTCCTTCTGGATAGATGCCCAGTAATGGGATTGCAGGATCAAATGGGAGGTCTAGGTTGAGTTCTTTAAGATTTCTTCATACTTCCTTCCAAAAAGGTTGTGTTAGTTTGCAGTCCCACCAGCAGTGCAA